GAATCGCGTCGCCGACAATTCGCTAATGAGAGCGAGGGTGCCGCCATGTTTTCCGGGGGGAGTTCCAGAAAGAAGTCCACGTGGAGCAAGAGTGCGACGAAGAAGTCGTTCGGTGGAAGCGATCGCGGCAAGAGAAACACATCGAATGGCTCGAGCAAGTGCCACTATTGTGGCAAGGCGGGACACTTTTGGCGTGAGTGTCGGAAGCGCCCGAGCGATTGGACTCCATCGAAGGCGCGGAACCACGACGGCAACGCACACACGGCATCCGGCGATGCGGATGATTCAAGGGAGTCGATCGTATTATTGGCCGGTGACGGGACCAACACATCAAGCGACGCATGGTTCCTTGACACCGGCGCAACACAACACATGACGCACTCGGCATCGTTCCTCACCAACGTTGGTGCACCGAGAGACGTAACGCGCGTCGTCTTCGGAAACGACAAGTCGCTACCGGTGGTCGGAGTTGGAAGTACGCGCCTCATCGTCGATGGCGGACCGGTGGACATCACGAACGTGCTTCACGTCCCGGGGTTGAAGGTGAATCTCCTCTCCGTCACTCAACTCGCGAAGAAGGGTGTGAAGGTCACTATCGACGATGCGAAGATGAACCTCTTTTGGAAGGGGAAGCAATTCGCACAAGGCGTTCTCAACGGAGAATTCTACCAACTCAAGACGCACCCGGGAGCGGCTTCATCCAACGTGGCGCAAGGTTCCAAGGCGACTCTCAAGGCGTGGCATAATCGACTTGCGCACGCCAGTTACAACTTGGTCAAGGAGTTGGCAAACAAAGGACTTGCGAAGGGAGTCGACGTGGTCGCCGGCGACGACGAGACGGGCGTGTGCGCGGCGTGTGTCGAAGGAAAAATGGCTCGGAAGCCATTTGGTAGCCGAACGTCACCCCTCGCTAAGGACCCGCTTGCGCTTGTTCACATGGACGTGTGTGGACCGATGCGATATGCATCAAAGGGAGGAGCGCGGTTTCTCTTGGTGATGCTCGACGACGCGACGCGGATGTGTTGGACCCGACTCTTGAAGGCTAAGGGCGACGCGGCCAAGGCAATACAAGAGTGGGCGCTCGAAGTTTGCAACGACGACAAGAAGCGGTTATTCGTACCGATGGTGGTGGCGAATTCGTGAACAACGAGCTTGCGAAATGGATGAAGAGCAAGGGCATCAAGCACGATGTCACAACACCCTACACACCCCCCAACAAAATGGAGCGGCGGAGCGGCTTAATCGCACATTGGTGGAAGCCGTTCGTTCACTTCTTCAACACTCCAAGCTTGGGAGCGATTGGTGGGGTGAGGCGAGTTCGCTAGCGGCGTGGATTCGCAACCGTTTGCCGACGAAGGTGCTCCCGGGAACGACTCCGTTCGAAGCATGGAGTGGAACGAAGCCAAACCTATCACACCTACGCACCTTTGGGTGCCTTTGCTACTACCATGTACCGGATCCCCTTCGCCACAAGTTACAACCGAAGGCTCGTGCGGCAATCTACTTGGGAATTGCGGCGACGAGCGTGCGTGGCGAGTGTGGGACTTGAGCGACAAGCGAGTCGTCACGTCTCGAGACGTGGTCTTCGACGAAGACAAGTTTCCGACAAAGGAACAACCAACGCCGCAACTCACCGTCGTCCTTCCCGCACGAGAGGAGGATGAAGCGGTGGAGGTTCCATCACAAGTGGAAAAGGAAGCTGAAAATGGAGGGGGAGAGAACGAGGAGAGCGACGACGTCGTGGTGGAGGTGCCATCAACCGAGGCAGCAACTTCCTCCACACCTTCCTCCCTCCCATTGGCGTTGACCCGCGAGCAATGTATACGTCGCCCCAACACGAAGTACAACGACTACGCTATGGTAGCCGTTGGGGAGTTGGACGAGGAGTGTGCGGCATATTGCTTCGCAACCTTGGGTGATGACCCTCGCACCCATACCGAGGCTTTGGCTTCTTTGGATGCGCCATTATGGAAACAAGCGATGGAGAAGGAACTAGCCTCGATCAAAGAGAACGACGTGTTTGAGCTCGTCGACCCGCCGAAGGGTGCCTACTTGGTGGGGTGCAAATGGGTGCTTAAGAAGAAAGTTGGGAGCCGATGGGAGTGTCGAACGCTACAAGGCGAGGCTTGTAGCTCAAGGCTACACTCAACGAGAGGGGGAGCACTATAGCGAGACCTTCGCTCCCGTCGCTAAGGCTACAACTCTTCGGGTGTTGCTCGCGCTAGCGGCATCTCTCGACCTCGAGGTGGAGCAATTGGACGTTTGCACCGCCTTCCTCTACGGGCTTCTCATGGAAGAGGTCTACATGCGGCAACCCCTGGGGTACGATGACGGTAGCGGAAGGGTGTGGAAGCTCAAGCGTACCCTCTACGGCTTGAAGCAAAGTCCACGCGGATGGTACAAGCGCATCGACGACTTTCTTCTTCAACAAGGTTTCGCGCGTAGCGAGTGCGATAGCGCTTTATACGTGTTGAAGAAGGGGGAGAAGCAATTGGTGCTTTTGCTCTACGTCGATGACCTACTCCTCTTCTCCGACTCCAAAGACCTCATTCGGGAGGTCAAGCAACGGCTAGGGGCGGAGTTTGCGATGAGGGACTTGGGGCCGGTCACGTACTACCTTGGGATGCACGTCGATCGTGACCGAGCCAACGGGACCATCCACCTCCACCAAGAGAAGTATGTGAAGGGGGTAGTGGAGAGCTTCGGCATGGGCGATAGCAAACCGGTGGGAACACCACTAGCTACGGGATTTTCTTGCCTTACGGGAGAGGAAGAATCCACCATCGACGAAGCCGAAGTGAAGCGGTTTCATTCGCTAGTGGGCTCGCTCATGTATGCCGCCGTTTCTACTCGCCCCGACCTCGCATACGCCGCCGGGGTGCTTGGACGAGGCGTGAGCAACCCTCATACCAAGCATATGCGCGCGGGAGGACGCGTTCTACGCTACCTCCAAGGCACACCTAACTTGGGGCTCGTGTATGAAGCCGGCCCGATTGAACTCAAGGGCTATGCCGACTCGGATTACGCGGGAGATCCGAGCACGCGCAAAAGTACCTCCGGGTATGTCTTCACCTTGCTTGGGGCAGCCGTGAGTTGGCAAAGCAAGAAGCAACCAACCGTGGCTCTAAGCTCAACGGAAGCGGAGTATATGGCACTCACTCAAGGTGCCATGGAGGCAATATGGTTACGGCGTCTTCTAGCGGAGCTTGGGCATCCTCAACCCAACCCAACTCCTCTCTTTTGTAACAACCAAGCCGCCATAAGCCTCTCTCACAATGCCGTCCTTCACGGGCGAACCAAGCATATCGAAGTGAAACATCACTTCATTCGTGAGGCGGTTGACAAGGGTGAGATCAAACTCACTTATGTGAGCACCAAAGCTCAACCGGCGGACTTCCTCACTAAACCACTCCCTAAGGATTCATTCCGTGCATGCTGTGAGCGTGTTGGATTGAGCACCTAGTGGTTTGGGTGCAAGGGGGAGTGTTGGAGGTTGAGTGAGGCAAGGTTTTGCCCCCAACCACCGAACGGTGCTTCTCAAGTGTTCCAAGAAGTTTGGCTTCACTGCAGGTCTCGAGAAGGTGCAGGTTGACTTCGAGAGACTTGCATTTTGGTGCCACATGGCAGCACAAGAAGAATCGAGACTCAGGGAGGATTCGATTCGGTGAAATTCGAGACTCGAATTTCACCCCTTCGAAATGTTACTCGAACATTCGAGTGTACCGTGGTTCGAGGTTACATGTGCGGTTCGATGTTGATTGCATGCTATAAAACTAGTAGCTTTGTATGCATGTTTTATACTGGAAAACGTGAATCACTTTGTACACAGTGCATTCGACAACAAATTCCAGAGAGTTTCCAATCCTTCAACATAGAGCACAGCTTTCACGTTAGTAGCCATATCTCGCTCGATACTTAGGCGATCGAGGTAATCTACGGCTCGTTGGAAAGCTAACAGAGTGCTCTACTGATTAGAACAATTCCCAGTTCCTGCAAATTAGAGGAGAGTACTCTACAACAGAGTAGAGTCCTTTACAACACTCCTCCCGTCACTCGTCGGACAGGGATGAGCTAAATGCAGCGGAAATTACTAGTGACTTGAGGTGACAGAGCTTCACTGGGAAAGGCTTGACGGGCAGGAGGGCTGAAGTGCGAGTGAAAGCGACGAAGATGCCATTGTGAGTGACGGGTGTGTATTTTTATAGCGTGATGCGAACGCGGCTCGAAAGCATTTGTGGCTTGGTGGGAGGCCTGGGTGGGATTGGTTTTGGCGGGATGATGTTTTTTTCCCGCCAGGTCGAATCCGCGACTTCCGCAACTAGCTCAGGTTTCGCAGGCGCATTTCGTGACAGGGTGATTGGATGATGCTTGCTTCACGTAGGGTTACAATTTCAATCTGCGACTCCGAAATGACTCGCAAATGCGCTTCCGGCTGTTGCGCCCTACTGTTTGGAGAGGCCACAGGTCTCCACAGAACATGCGCTATCGTTGAAGCTCGTTGACTGCTTTGTCTGTTGAACATTTGGGCTTTGGGAATTTGGGAAAGCGGTTGACGCGGCAGGCCCGCGAAGTGCGCCAAGTGCCACAGCAGCAAATAACATGAATGAGATGAGCTGTGCGGAACACCCGTCGATAGTTTATCACCTATAACCCTTATTAATCCATGCTCATAATGTTATTCACGCATGCAAGAGTCAATAACAGGTGATGTCATTCATAATACCAGCCCAATCACAACCATCTTGGTACTACACCCATGTTTAGGTAGAAAATAATATTCATCATACCGTAGCTATGCAACTGAAAAATGATATTGTGTTGTGTCTAACTTCTTAGCCCAATATTGCATCATCATCATCAATCACCTTGCCATAAATATCTGCCACCACCAGTCGGAGTCATACAGGCAGTTGGGCAGCCCCAGCCAGAACCAAGGTTGGACTTGCATGCGCGAGTCCTGATTGAAACCTCTTCCATGTTTCAACCATCCCCCACCGCTCTCAATCCCGCCAGCTCCAGTCAGACTCATAGAGACGGTTGGGCAGCCCCAGCCAGAACTTGAGCGCCTCAAAGCCCCGCGACCCCAGGAACTCATCGGGAGCAGCGGTGGTGGTGGAGAGGGAGGAGAGGGCGCGGTGGCGGCGCGAGGAGAGGGAGGTGATGAGCATGCGCTTGTACTTGAGCCTATCGGGTGCCAACCCTGCTCCCTCCATCGCCCCCACGACCTCGAGTGCGCGCTGTGAGAGGGGGGAAAGGGGGAAAGGGGCGAATGGGTGATGAGCATGCGCTATCCGGTGTCAGCCCTGCCTCCTGCATCGCCCCGACGACCTCGAGTGCACACTGTAAGGGGGGATGGAAGGAATGGATGAGGGAGAAATGGAGGAGAGAGAGGAGAGGGAGGTGATGAGCATGCGCCTGTACCTGAGTCGCTCGGGCGCCAGCCCTGCCCTCTCCATCGCCCCCACCACCTCCAGTGCGCGCTGCGAGAGGGAGAGGGGGTGGGAGGGGAGGAGTGGGGAGAGGGGGAGGAGGAGGGGGGAGAGGGGAGGGGGAGGGGAAGGAGAGCAATTGCCAGGGAGGAGGGCGTTGGTGATGATAAGATGCATGTACCCATAAGTGTTGACGTATGTAGCAAGGGGTGCGAGAGAGGTGAGGGACGGAGAGAGGTGTGTGACAAGCAGAGGTATAGAGGGACAAAGGTATAGAGTGTGAGAGGGAGGCATGGGAAGAGGTGTTCACCTGGAAGTACCCAGCCTGCATGAAGATGAGCATGAGCCCATCCATCACCGCCTCATCCACACACACCCCTGCTGCCCCCTTTGCTGCTCCTCCTGCCACTCCTGCCCTCCACGTCACTCTTTCTTCTGCCACACCCACCGCTCTCCCTCTCGCTCCCCCTCCGTCCACTCTTTGCTCCCACCTGCTCCTCACCCACTCCCTCTCCCCGCGTACTCCAGCCACCTCCACCAGTCCCCCCTCCTCACCCTCACTCTCCTCCATCCCTCCCTCCTCCTTTTCACTCCCTCCCTCACTCCCGCTCCCTCCCGTCTCACCTCGCTCCTCCCACCGCCGCTCCCTCGCCTCTCCCATCAGTTCCCACCTTTCCTCCCCGCCCTCAATTCCCTCCATTCCCTCCTCCCAATCACTGCCCTCCGCCCCCACTAGTCGCTCCTTCAAGTCGCGCCACAACACCAGAGCCTCTCCTGCCCTCTCTGCTGCTGCCAACGCGCGCACCAGACTGCCGTATGTGGCTTGGGTAGGGGCAATCGAGGCTGCCTGCAGGTGGGAAGGAACAGAGATGTGTGAGAGAGAGTCATGATTCACGCACGGACAAGGCACTGGCAAGTGGCAACAGTGGATACAGATGCAGCCTGGAAGGGAAAGAACAGCAAGAAGAGGAGTGGGGGCCGGGATGCAGCAACAGGGGAGGGAGAGAAGCATGAGAGACATGCGTGTGCTGGGGGCATGAGAGTCGTCAAAAGCAAGGCGGTGAGCGAGGAATGAAGGAGACGCTGTAGGGAGGGAGTGCAAGGGCAGCAGAGGGGAAGGCCGTGGTGAGGGGGAGGATGCACATGCCAACCTTGGCGCGCTGCTCCAGTAGTGCAATGCTTGAGTCACTTTGAAGAGTTTTCAATTGTGACACTTTTGTAAGCATGCGCACCTTGGCTCGCTGGTACACACTCCACGCCTGCTCCACCAGCCCCGCCCTCGCCTGTGAGTCAATCACCGCGCCCCATGCCACTGCATCGACCCGCAACACCTCTCCACCGCTCACCATCGCACCGCCTCTCCCTCCCCGGCTCCCACCACCCCCTCTCCCTCCCAACCGCATTCCACCGCTCCCAGCCTCCACAAGCATCTCTTCAAACACGGAGAGGGCGCGGGCAGGGTCAGCGTCAGGGGCCTGGCCGAGGGCAGAGATGAGAGCCGTGTACACCTGCACCGTTGGCGCTATGCCTTCCCGCTGCATGCGAGCAAACCATTGCAATGCTGCCTCTGCCCCACCCCACTCGCTCTCATACCTGCCCCACTGTGAACCCCCTCTGCTCCGCTCAGCCTCCGCTCTACCCCCCTCTGTCTCCGCCCTGCTGCTACAGCTGCTGCTGCCGTTGCGTTGTACTGACCTCACATCCGCCGGATCGTAAAAGGACGTGCCAGTTTCGCTGGTGCGGCTGCTCCAGCTCTCGCCCACAAAACTGGTGCTCGGGTTAACTAGGGCATCAGCAGCATAACGGCCAGCAGCCTGAGGTAGCACACCAGGCTCTGCAATAGTATCAGCGCCACTGACAGCATCACCCCGAGCACTCCACTTCGCCTGACCCCGCCCTTTCCACGTGCTCACCCTGCCACACGCCGCTATGATGGTCGCAAACGTTGCAGCGTTTGGCCGCACGCCCCACGCGCCCCCCCCACGGGTGGCCGAACCCTCAGAAGCATCAGCAACCTCGCCAGCAGCGGGTGCCTTCTGAGGCGCCTTAGAAGCGGCCGGAAAGCCTCCAGCAGCCTCACCAGTATTGGGTGCAGCAGGGGAAGCCGTGCCTTGCATTGGCCGCCGCTTCCCAGAACCCGCACCCCCGCCACACCCCATCTCTCTCAGCAGTGCCTCCACCTCCCCCATCTGCCCGCGGTCGCAGTGGGCTTTAACAAGCACGTTCAACACTGCTGTGTTGCCCGCCACGCCCCGCGCCCGCATCTCCTCCAGCAGCTGCCGCGCTGCCACCACCGCCAACTCGTCAAGGTTGCCTGCACCTGCTAGGGCCTCGCTGTTTTCCCTCGTTGTCGGATTGCTAAAGCCTGTCCGGACCACCATTCTGTCCCTTGTGCTGCTACCAGCCAGCACACCAGCACGGCCATTACCCAGCCCCTGCTGCTCTACCGCCTCCTCCCTGCCTGCGCCTGCCCCACTCCCAGTACCACTAACGCTTCCAGTGCCACTAAGGCTGCCAGTGCCACTAACGCTTCCAGTGCCATTAAGGCTGCCAGTGCCATTAAGACTCCCAGCGCCGCTAAGACTCTCACTGCCTGCACATGCATTGCTGGGCCCGGCGGCCTTCCAGAGGCTTGGCTTCCTCAGAGATGCGACGGCTCCCCGCGAATCCAGACCATCGGCAACAGCAGAAGCATCGGGTGAGGAGGCGGGTGCAAGGGGAGGCAGCGCTGGGGGGTTGCTGCTGCTGGCAGCGAGGGCAGCTTGGGAGGCTGCAGAGGTCACTGCACTGGCGCCAGTAGAAGGGGTGGCGGCGACAGCAGCAGAGGCAGCTGAAGTAGAAGCAACGGTAGAGGCAGCAGTAGCAGAGGCAGAGGCAGCAGCAGCGCGGGCGAGGATGGGAGCGGGGATGAGGTGGGGCGGGGAGGAGACGAGGGCGTGCATGAGCGTGGCGTATGTGATGTGGTTCGGGGCGGTGTCAGGGCGCTGCTTCATGCGGTCAAACCACTGCCCATTGGTGTGGTGGGAGGACAGGTGCAGGGATAGGAGAGGGGAGGTAGAAAAGGAAGTCAGGGATTCACAAGTGCTGTGTTCATGATTCGCCGAGGCAAACAGACTCAAACAATCGAGTGATAACCTCACACCCGAGTCTCATGTATTGCACACAAAGAATGCATCACACACAAGCCTCATTTCACACAAACACATCTGGCCAATGGGAAAGAGCGGTGTGGTGTGGATCCGTGGGGAGGACAAGAGGAAGAGAGCGCACCTCAAAGGCTGCAGCGAGGTCCCCAGAGGCGACGAGCCCCTTGATGAGGATGGAGAGCATACGCACGTTGGGCCCCACCCCCACCCGATGCTTCCCACCCTCCTTTCCCTCTGCTCCCTTCTCCTCCCCCTGCCCCTCCCCCTCCGCCTCCGCCTCACCCTGGTCCTGCCCCTCCCTCCCCCCCTCCCCCTGCCCCTCCCCCAGGTCCCACATGGTCTGCACGAGCGCCTGCGCCTCCCCCATCATGCCGCACGCCACATAGCCCGCCACCACTGAGTTGAACGACGCTGCGTCTGGCTGCACGCCCTGCGCCTGGGGGATGAGGGAGCGGGGGAGAGGAAGAGAGAGGAGTCAGACAGGGTATGAGGCGGTGCTATGCGGTAGTGAGACCCATGCACCTCATCATGCCGCACGCCACATAGCCCGCCACCACCGGGTTGAACGATGCCGCGTCTGGCTGTACGCCCTGCGACTGGGGTGTGAGTGGGGGAGAGAGGGAGAGGAAAAGCGAGAGGGAGAGTGAGAGGGAGAGGGAGAAATCGGAGAGGGCATGAGGTGGCCTTACGTGGTAGATAGGCCCATGAGCCCCGTCATGCTGCACGCCACACACCCCGCCACCACCGAGTTGCTGGACGCTGCATGTGGCTGGAAATGGTTGGACGCCCTGCGCCTGGAAATGGTTGGATGGCAGGTGGGGGAATGGGAGGAGTAAGAAGGGAGGGGTTTGGCTGGCTCCTCCTATGTGCACGCCACACACTCCGCCACCCTTTTGAACGGCGCTGCGTGTGGCTGCACGCCCTGTGACTGGAAGAGAGGAGTGGCAGGTTGAGGGAAGAGGAGTTGGTTGCTTGTGTTGGGATGTTGAAGCTGATGGCGTCGGGAGTCACTCCCCCTCCCCCATCCCAATGCTTTCCCTGCCCAATGCCCTCCCCTGTGCATTTCAGGCCATCCACACTCACCATCATGTGCCTTAGCACTTCAACCGCGCGTTCAGGCATGCCCTGCGCCGCTCGCCCTCTCAGAATGTCAAAGCTGAGGCACGCCCGCCGCTCGCCGCTCACCGTTTGGGGTCACACCCGCACCTGCCATGCCTGCCCCTACCATGCCCTCCATTCACTTCCGACCCACCCTCGCCATGCCACGCCACACTCACCAGCATATGTCTCAGCAGCTCATGTGCGCGTTCAGGCATGCCCTGCGCCGCGCGCCCCTTGATCAGAATGTTGAAGCTGATGGCGTCGGGGGTCACGCCCGCCCCCGCCATGCCCTCCCCCAGCAGCCTCTCCGCCAATGGGAGGTCGCCAGCTGTCACCGCCGCGTTGATCGCCGCGTTGAAGGCTGCTGTGTCCGGGCGCATGTGGGGGGAGCTCTGGGGGGGAAGTGGGGGGATAGGGGGCGCTTGGGGGTGAGATAGAAGGGGGAATAGAGGGAAGATAGGGGGGGGATGGGGGGATGAAGGCTGTGTCCGGGCGAATGTGGGAGGCGCTCTGGGGGGGAAGGTGGGGGGAAATGGGGCGCATGGGGGGGGATAGTAGGGGGGAGAGGGAAGGGATTGGGGGAACATAGGGGGGAGATAGGGGGTTGAAGGCTGGTGTGTCCGGACGCATGTGAGGGGGGGGGCTCTGAGGGGAAACGGGGAGGGAAAGGGGAGGGAACGGTGAGGGAAAGGGAGCGCACGGGTGGGGGATAGAGGGGAGAGGTAGGGCGGACAGACGGTTGAAGGTTGCTGTGCCCGGACGCATGTGAAGAGCTCTTTGGGGTGGAAGCGGGTAATAGGAGGGGGGGGGGGGAAGGGGGATAGAGGAGGGGATAGAAGGGGGGATAGAAGCGGAGGCAGATTGGGGGATTGAGGTGGTGATAGAGGGGGGGGATAGAGAGGGGGACAGAGGGGGGAATAAGAGGGGGGATAGGAAGGGGATATGGGGCGCATAGGGTGGGGATAGAGCGGGAGATAGGGGGGAAAATAGAGGAATGAAGGCTGCTGTTTCCGGACGCATGTGAGGACAGCTGTGGGGAGGAAAGCAGGCAGGGTGTGGTGCGCGTGAGGAATGGTTCTGCAAGCAACGCACCTTGGCAGCAGCGACGGCGCAGCAGTCTCTGAAGAGCCTCACGGCGGCGGCAGCGAGCGCGGGGTCGCGGCCCATGCGGCTCACCACGGCGCTCCACACAGCCACGCGCGGAAGGTGCCCCTCGCGCAGCATCTGCGCCAGGAGCTCCGCTGGTGGGCGGAAGGATGGGGAGGGGAAGTAATGGGGAAGGGGAGGGGAGGTTGAGGGGGAAGAGGCGGGAACATGGCATGGCGACTGAACACCACGGCGCTCCACCGTGGAAAGGATTCACGGTGATGAGGGAGGAAGCGAGCTTGCCGCACAGCATGCACAGAACCAAGTGGAAGAGGGAGGCCACCAGGCCGGTGCTCACCTGCGTCAGCCGCAGAACGCTGATACCATGTAACCGGGAATCATAGCGCTGTAACCACATACGGGTGCTCACCTGCGTCAGCCGCACAGCCACTGCGCGCCGCTGCCATCACAGCGAGACCGAAGGCGTCTTCATCCACCTGCACCTCTCTGAACACCTCTCCACTCCCTCCAGCACCACTACCCACCGCACTCCCCGCCGGCCACTGCTGCTCCCACGCCTTTCCTCGTTCCGCCTGCCCCTCTCCGCCCGCTTGTCCCCCCATCTGCGCGCGGCACACCTCGTCGATCAGCCGCTTCGCCTTGCGCCACTGCCCGCGGAGGCTAAGTTGCGCCACCGCGCGGCTCCAGCAGCGGCTGCCCGCCCACCGGCCCGCCTGCCGCTCCCGCCACAGTAGCCTCACGGCGTCGTCCGTGCGCCGCTCCGCCAGCGCGCGCGCAATCTCCGCCTCCACCTCCTCCGCCACGCGCTCCAGCTTGCGCTGCTGCGCCCACACCTCCGCCTGTACCGGGGAGGGCAGAGGTGTGCGCTGGCGCTGGCGCGGGCGCTGCGCGGGCATATTGGCGGCGGCCGCCATAACGGACGACAACGAGGGAAGCTCATCTGCGCCCCCGCGGTATCCGCCCCGCTCGTTCCCCCCACTCTCGCCCCTTCCCCTCGCACCACCCCTGCTACCACTATCCCCGCTGCTCCTCTCCCCAGGCTCCCTCCCCGCGCCACCTGCTTCTCCGCGACCTTCCGACGCAGGGGGGGTCCGTGCGCCTGCAGGATCTGCGCGACTGGCGCGTGGCGGATCTGGCTCTTGGAGCTGCAGGGCGCGCAGCTCGTCGCTGTAATCCGGGCGGCGACTCAGCGGAACCGTCCTCTCGCGCACCGTCTCGGATCTTTCCTGCCACTCCGCTTGCTTTCGCTGCTGCCGCTCCTGCTGCCGCTGCTGCTGCCGTTGCTGCTGCCGCTGTTGCCGCGACTGTCCCTGTCGTCCCCTTGTCCCCCTCTCCCCAGCGCCGTCGCCGAGACTGCTGTCGCGGCGAGGGTCGAAGGAGTCGGGGGAAGGGGAGAGGGGGAAGGGGGAGGCGGAGCAGGTAACCCGCGCAGAGAATCGGCGGGAAATGCTGGCGGAAAGCGTGGTGGCGGAAGTCATGACGTGCGCCGTGGGCGGAAGTGGAACCGCGAGGTGTGAAACGAGGGGATTCGCGAGTTGCGTGAGGGAAAACGGATCTGCTCGGGCCATCGCGTTTCGGCGCACTCTTTGAAACCTCCTGCTTCTACAGTAACCAAGCTCGAGGACCTACGGTTCTCTTCTCGGAGACGAATGATGGAAACACCTACACGGAGGTAGGAGCGCGTAACGACGCAAGTACGAATCGCACGACTGACGGAGGAGAGCGGATCAGATTCGTCGAGGCGCCCTCACGCAGCTTCACGCATGCTTAGTGTCCCGTCTCAAACAAACCCTCGACTCCTCACTAATCCAAGCGTGACGCATTCGCTACTGAGTTGCGAAGGTAATGCGGGCGATGATCGAACCTAGGAAGGCAATGCGCGCAACGAACAACTATTGCGAAAGAGAGGAACTCCTATGACCTCCACTGTCGATGGAAAACAGGTGACCACTGTCGCACTGCAGACTGGCCAGAGTGAGGAGTTACGGATTGACAGCCTCAAGGCATGGAACCAAGATCGAGGCCCATCTTCAATTGTCAATGAAAACGATGGGTGGGGTGGTGGGGGGGAGGAAGGGAAAGCCGATTGGACGGTTGGAACATCGATCACAAGTGGTTTAACACGACTAGAGAGGGTGCAGTGCGGTGGCCAGTCGATCTCAACAGCACTGTCTGTGCTGGGTGGAAAGGGAGGAAAGGAAATAACCGCGAGTGTTCCTATTTACGGTTAAGACTGTTAAGTTTTGATCCAAAACGGTAACATCTGGTGCGCTGGTGTGACAGACCCTGACATGGCGCGAGCTGAATGTGAGGGCGATGGCAGTGCAGAGAGTGGTTGGCGGCGCGGAAACATGTCGATCTCGCTACAAGACGAAAGGGATGGCGTCGAGGGAGCGTCGAACGAACACGCTGTTGCCACGGTGGCCGAACGCGTGGCACGTGATAGGAGCGGTAAGTTGAGCTGGCAGGCGGAAAGTTCAATGAGCCACAATCACCATCAGGTGCAACTCCCTGGATCACTCGGTAAATGAAAAGCTTTAATAAGAGAAGATAAGCTTGCATATCGCAAGCAATATAAAATTATCCACTCTAATGCAATCGACACCAACCTCTTCTTCCATGACAAAGACCATCTCGAGCTCGATGGTCGCTCGCTGGGAGCCTGAAATCACCGCTCGTGAAGTTTTCCTAACATCTGGTTTTAATATCACCTGCATTGTAACCGTTATAACTCCACGAAGAAGTCCATATATTTCAAGGGTTCATCATGCGAATATTATATGGTCTTCCTTTAGGTGTTTGCTGCTGATTTCACAATCAAATCACAAGACCACCGCATTTTTTCCAAGGCTATCTGCTGACACGAAATCGACAACATTATCTAGGAGAGCCTCCCCACTCTCTGTTGGTTTCCCTGATGGCTTTCAGCGGGCTAATGTCAAGAAGTGATGATTGAACTAACAGAATTGTGGTACAAGTAGGAAACCCTAAAGTTGTATACCCCATAAGGCTAGCCCCACTATAACTTAACAACACATAACAAGTTTGACACACCCCCATAGGCAAATTTGAGGATAGCAACGGGTCACAAGACCAGTCAAGAGAAGAAGCAAAGCAAAAAAAAAGCTCAGGGTGGATCTCAAGATCACCACGCATTCTGAGCACAAGCAAGCAGCCACAAGGTCAATTCACATACCGTCAGCCCCCGGATAGAAGCGCCCCTGGGGGTATAAAAAAACAATGTTTTTTAAGAGGTGGCCTTATAATTGAGGATTTTTATAAGCGGCGGGGCTTATATAATGACATATATGAAATATATGTTAGAATCTTACGGGAAAAGTGGTTTCGACTATCGAGAGGGTTGGTACAAAGTGAAAACCCAAGGGGTTGTACCCCACAGTAAGTACCCCACTAAGCCTACCCAAACTATAACATATATATACATATGTTTGACACACCCCCATAGGCAAAGTGGGGGAAAACAGAGGGTCACAAGACCAGTCAGGAAGTGCAAAGCAAGCTCAGGGTGGATCACAACGTCACCACGCAGTCTGAGCACAAGCAAGAAGGCCACAATGCCAGTTCACATGCAGAAATATATATGTAACAACAACAGTACAGTGATATCTACCTACAAGAACAAGCATGCAGGAATACATATACGGTAAATCATGGTACAAACAAAGCCTACAGCAAGTGAGGAAGAGTGGGCACAAGGCCTAACAAAGTGCAGAAACGCTGATGATCACCAGGCGGAAGCGCCTTGTTGAATATATCAGCAGTGTTGGCCCGAATGGCCACGTAGGTAAGACGAAGCTGGCCACGCTGCTACAGCTCTCGAGCAAGAAAGTAACGGAGAGCGATGTGCTTTGTTCTGTGCTCCAGTCTGTGCTCCTGACACAAGGCAATGGCGGCCTTGTTGTCGACGTACAGAACTGGAGGAGAACGAGGCCTCTCTCCCAAGTCGGTCAGCAGGTAGGTGAGCCAGCGCAGCTCCTGTGCAGCCATGGCTGTGGCGTAGATCTCTGCCTCACAGCTGGAGCCGAGAACTGAAGACGAACGTGTAGAACGCCAGGAAACTGAACCAGAACCAAGGCTGAAGGTGTAACCCTGTGACGACCGCTGCGTAGCCTGGTCGTCAACCCAAGAGGCGTCCGAGTGACCTGTGAGGACAACGTCACCCCGTCCTTCAAGCACGAGCCCCATGCCCGATGTACTGCACAAGTAGCGTAGTACCCTCTTGGCAGCATCCATGTGCACCTTTCGGTGCCGACCAGGAGCCACGTAGCGAGCCAGAAGGCCAAGAGGGTACGCAAGGTCAGGACGAGTGCAAGTCATCAGGTACATGAGGCAGCCCACTAACTCTGGGTAAGGACCACTCGGCTCTACGGACTCGTCCGAAGGTGGAGCTGAGAGCGAGTGACCTGTAGCCAGAGGAGTGGCCTGTGCTGAGGACCAGGTGAAACCGAAGCGCTGAAGGACCTGCTGCACCATGTGTGACTGAGTTAGTGTGATGGTGCGGCGTGCTCTGTCCCGGGTGATCTGCAAGCCAAGGTAGCTGCGCAGTTCACCCAGGTCTGTGCACGTGTGTCTCTTCTGCAACTCCGACTTCACCAGGGCGAGAGCCTCAGTGTCAGCAGTGGCAAAGACCAAGTCGTCGACGTACACGAGAACGTAGAACGGTGGCAGAGAAGTGTCGGTGCGCAAAAACAGCGACGGGTCAGCAGTCGACGGAGCAAACCCAAGAGCCGCAAGTGTCGTCCTCAGTGTGTCGTGCCACTCACGTGGCGCCTGGCGGAGACCGTAGACCGGCCGCCGGAGGCTCCACTGGGTACCAGGAGGGAACGACCCAGTGAAGCCAGGAGGGCCGCGCAGCCAAATCTCCTCGTGCAGGCTGCCCTGTAAGAAGGCTGTGCTGAAGTCAAGAGAGTGAAGCTCGTAGTCACGCTGAGCGGCAACGTGCAGCAGCACCCGAAGAGTGGTCATCTTCGGGGTGGGGGAGAAGGTCTGGAAGAAGTCAACTCCCTCTCGCTGACTGAAGCCTCGAGCCACGTAACGAGCCTTGAAGACAGGCGGAGAACCTGGAGGCCGCTTCACCCTGAAAATCCACATGCCACTGACAATGTTCGCCCCAGGAGGGGGAACCTCGTCGACGTAGGTGCCTGTGGACTTCCAGGATGCCATCTCTGCGTCCATGGCTGTCTGCCACTGAGAGGAGT